TTGATGGTAAATTTACACTTCCCAATTTCCAAACTTACTAGAAAACTATAATAATAAAGACTGGGTGGTGCTGGCATAAGGACAAACATAGATCAATGAAACAGAATTAAAAGTCCAAAAATTAATCCTTATATTCACAATCAATAGACATTTTTAATCCTCACCTGAGGAGATGCTTATAAATTGTTTAGAGAAAGAGAAAGGAATGGGGGGTGAGAGAAGCATCAGTGTGAGAGAGAAACATCAATCGGCTGCCTCCCATACATGCTCAGACTGGGGATCAAACCCACAACCTTTTGGTGTACAGGACGATGCTCCAACCAACTGAGCCACCTGGCCAGGGCAGATTTTTAACAAAAGTTGCCAAGGCAACTTACTGGCAAAAGGATAGTCTTTCGACAAATGGTACTGAGACAAATGGACATCTAAGATGAATTATGACCCTTACATCATCAGGGGAAAATTGGGACAACTGTAACAGAACAATAAATTTATACCTACATACATACATACATACATACAAGAACAAAGACCCTTACATCATAACACACAGATACATGCAAAATGGCATAAATCTAAGTGTAAAACTAAAATATACAATTTTTAGAAGAAAACATGGGGAAAAAACCTTCATGACGTTGGGTTCATCAAAGATTTCTTAGATATGACACCAAAAGCACAATCCATAAAATAAAAAAAAAACAAACTGGACTTCATCAAAATTGAAGATGTTTGTGCTTCAAAAGACATCAGTAAGAAAGTAAAAGACATGTCATAAACTGGGGGGAATACTTACCACATAAGTGAAAAAGAAATCTTGTTCAGAGTATGAGCTCTCACAATTTGGTAATTAAAAAAATAAGCCAATTTAAAAATGAGCATAAGATAGACATCTCACAAAAGTAGAAATAGAAATGGCTAATAACAGGAAAAGGTGATCCACATCATTAGTCATTAAGGAAATGCAAATTAAAATTACTATGTGATACTACTTTATACTCACTAGAATGACTACAATAAAAAGAAAAGTATTGAAGAGGATATAGAAAAGCAGAAAAACTGGACTTGTCATACATCACTTGTGGAAATGTAAAATGATAATCACTTTGGAAAACAGATTGGCAGTTTCTTAAAATGTTAAACATAAACTTACCATGCAAGTATTTCCACTCCTAAGTATCTCCCCTAGAGAAATGAAAACAGGTATCCACACTAAGTCTTACATGCAATCTTTCATAGCAGCATTAGTCATAATAGCCCCAAAGGAGAAACAACAAAAATGGCCAGCAACTGGTACATGGATAACCAAGATGTGGTGTAGTCATACAATGGAATATTATTCAGCCATAAAAAGGAATGAAGTACCGATACATACTATAACATGGATGAGACTCAAAAATACTATGCTATGTGAAAGAAGCAAACAAAAAAGTCACATTCATATGATCCATTTATATGACTTATCCACAAAAGGCAAATTTATAGAGACAGCAAGCAGAATACTGGTTGTCTGGGTCTAGCAGTGGGAGCTGAGACTGACTGCATATGGTGGGCACTAGGGATCTTTTTCAGCTAATGAAAATGTTCCAAAACTGCACTGGGGTGATGTTTGCACAATTCTGTAAATTTACTAAAAATTATAAATTGTATACTTGACACAGGTAAATTTTACATGGAAATTATACCTCAATAAAATAGTTTTTAAAAAAATTCTACATGGATTTTAACTATTTATATCTTCCAAAATTAAAATTCCTTCAAATCTTTGGTAACTTTTAAAATGACAAAACTTTTCCCTAATCATTCCTGCTCTGCAACCAACTTTTTAACTTCTAGTGAATTTTAAAAGGTTATAAAAGCTAATTCTCAGAAGTTTTATTCAGTCTCTTTAATCTATATAATCAAGATGGCAATTCTGATAATGAGTTTCTTTCATTCCCCAATCACCCAATGAGTTGATGTAATCAGGCAAAATGAATGATCTAATGACTCATATATAATACTACTTTACAAAGCTATAATAACCCTAAAGCTCCTAAGTCTTCTGAAGAAATAAAAATACCACCTGTCAAATGAAGTGATTTATACATTCTCTGGTATGTACAGTATAAATCATTGTCTAACTCAGGCATGATACCCACTTTTGCATCCTAAGTTTTTAACTCTTTTTTGCTCCCTTCACATAGAGGAAGAAGGAATTTGCATTGTTCTTCACTAGGCTTGTTTTTCCTCCTTAAAATGTCCCCAAAATATACAGATCTCAGGAGTAAAGACTTCCTCCAACTCATCTATTCCCCAAACCATATAACCTAGACAAATAACTTTTATGTGTTCTCTGCAATGAACGTAGCCTCGTGAACAGATAAATCATGAAAGATAACCCAACAGCTGTTCTCTCTGTTGATACCAGGCACACTCCTGAGTATCTGCCCTTCCTCCACTTTCTCCTCCATTTCCCAGTCTCACTGGTGGCTTTCTCAAGTACCTGCCTTGGGCTGTGTTTGACCCACAAGGGCCCTGATGGTAAATTATGTTCCATCATTCTCATTTCCATTCAATTTTTAAAAAGAGAAAAAGGATTCTCTCAAACTGTGGTTTACAGTACAAACCTTAAAATTATAAAAGATGTATATAGAAATATAAATATAAAAATAAATGCAAAGATTTAATTTGGTGCCAGTCTTTAGTCCTCAGTTTTCATTCTAAGCATCTTCTTTTCCACATATTTCAAAATGTTAAATTCTGGGAAAATCAGTTATAACTGAATATTCATCACTTCTTTAAAGTGCACATAGGTCATCTTTTTATAGCCAACTCTTACCTGGCTTAACAGGGGTCTATTTAAATTAGAAATAGAGTCAGTCTATTCAACAGTGTCTATTGAATACTCACTCATTAACAGGCCCTGGATATTTAGGAACAAATAAGGTACAGTTCCTACCTTCAAGGAGTCCGTAAGCTGTTGGGAGAGAATGAAGTACAATTACATATCATTTAAATCAGATCGAAGTAAGTACCACAATGCATATTTTTAAAAAGCTATGAAAAAAGAGGTCACAACTTGGGAATAAATGAAGATTTCAAAGAGTTGACTTGACAAAAAGAAAGTAATGCTTCCACTGAACCAAAATAGCAAAAGTAGGTAGCAATAGATTCCTGGGGAAGAGCCAAGTCAGATAAGGTGTGGCTCTAGAACCAGGTGAGGACATATTAGGAGACCAGTCTGATCATGTCTGATCATGGAGAACTTACTTTGTGCCAAATACCATTAAGAGCACTTTATGTGTATAAATTATTTGATCCTTACAACAACCCTGGGAGGAATTTACTATCATTCCCATTTTATACATGACAAAACCAAGATACAGAACAGTTGCATAAGCTGCTCATGGTTACACAGATGCAGCTAAAAGTTGTGGAGCCACGGTCTTGAAGTCCATAATAAAAGACGACCAAATTCTCTACCTCTAACCACACTTGTTACAAAAGCAGTTAACAGGTAAGCTGACTACCCGCTTTCTCATTAATTCCTAGGCCATCCTTCAAGGTCTAGCTGAAATAATTCCTTCTCCACAAAGCCTTCTTTGATCCCCCCCAATTAAACATAATCTCTTTCTCCTCTAAGCTACATAATGCTTTATCTTTTTTAACCTTATAACAAGTCCTATTTTCTTTCTGACGTTACAGATTTTACATCATTCTTTATTATTTTCCTTTAGTCTGACCCATTTTCTATTCTCCACAACTCCTAGGGCAGTGGCTGGCACATAATAACGCTAACTAAATCCATGGAGCACTTATTCTTTGCAAAGCATTGTGCTAAGCATTTTGCAGGAATCATTTGACAAAATCCTTACAGCAACCCAATTCACAATAGCTTTTTTTAGCCCATTCTGTGACAGATATAATACTAAATGCACCTTAAATTCAGTAAACAAGACAGATACGGTCCCTGCAAGAAGCTTATAGTCTAGGGACGTTGGTACTATTGGTGTCCCCCAAGTAAGAGATAAAATTGAGGCCCAAAGGATTTAAATATTTTGTCCAGAATCACACAGCAAAAAAGTGACAGAGCCAGAATTTAAACCCAGTGCTCAACTTGATGAGCAAAAATGTGTATGTATCTTAGTATGTAGCCGATAGCTCAGAACTGCTAATCAAGTCATCTGCTGAGAAGCCTAGGTATTTGATTTCCCTATGTCTCTTAAATTGGTCCCTCCTGAGCACCAATGCTTTGCTGCACGCAGGGTAGTGTAGAGAAGTCACTAATTAGCAGTGAGACTTTGGCTTACATCTATCAAATACCCGAATGGATTGGGGTGGAAAAGTAACTAACTGCACAATTCCTTACTTAACTGTGGTTCAACTATTCTTAAAAGTTGGGTTCAACTCACACAATTGTGTGAGTCCGTAATTTCCAGTGGTGCGGTGAGGAAGTTGCCACTACAGGATTACATTATCCTTCATGCAACTAAAGCATCCCTCTGGCCCAGAAATACCTGCCTTCTGGCTGAACGTCCCAAGGTCCACAGCCAGCTGGCCAGAGAGACTTCCTTCTCCAAATGCCACCTTGGCAGCCCCACTGTGTGGCCTATCCTACCCATCTCCTCAAATAAAAGTAGCGACATCCCAAAATATTGACCAGGCAGAAAGAGGTGCCCAGACGCGAGTCTTATTCCCACAATTTCTTATCCCAACAAGAGACCACCTGACTTCAGATAAAGTTCATCACGTTAAGCAGCGGAGACGACCTCCAAGAGCCAGGACCCCTGGGTCTTGAGGCTCCTCCCACAGAGCGCACTCTGCGCCTTGGCTGCGTGTTTCTCAAACCTCCGAGCTCCGCACACCACCAAACACCACCCGCCTCCAGCGCTCTCTCTTTCGCGTGACTGCCCTCACGCAGAGGTCGCGGGTAACACGCAGGAGGCGTGTCCGGCGTAGGGCGCGCGCCCCTCCCACCACCCGCCAATTACCAGCGCCCCCCGCCACCCCCGCCCCGCCTCCCTCCGCCCTCCCGCTGTGCCTGCGCTTGGTGCTCTAGACTCAGCTCTCCCTCTTCGCCCGAGCTCTGAGCGCATGCGCCTTGACAGATGGGTTGGGTGAGGGCTCCCCAAGGAGGGTAGGGGGAGATGGAAATGGAAGGGGGCAGCCGCTGGGGAGCGCTTTGGGGGCGGAGCCGGGAGCGCTGGTCGCCGGGGAGGTAGAGGCCTAGGCTCTGACCCAAAGCTGTAGCTGAGTCGCGGCATCCGGCTGACCCGCCATTGTTTTTGTGTATGTGCCCGCTTAGGTCTACATGGAGAACTGCTTAGCGGCCGCGGCGCTAAACGGGGTGGACCGGCGTTCCCTGCAGCGCTCGGCTAGGCTGGGTCAAGAAGTGCTGGAGCGGGCTAAGAGGAGGGCGGTGGACTGGCATTCTCTGGAGTTTCCCAAAGGCAGCGTGGGGGTCATTTCCCAAGAGCGACCTTACGGAGAAAGATGGCCCGTAGCCGGCCCCGAGCGCCTTCTCCTAGGAGAGGTGAGGGCCCCTGTTCTGGGGAACCAGCCCATTCATTCGCCCAGCGGTGGCCTGCTGGGCACCAGGGCACGGACCACACGGAAGCACCTGAGGGATCCTGCCCTTGGCGGTGGAAGCTATGAAGTGTCAAGAAAGTGAACGGAAAGACTTTTTGAAAACTCATGACATTTACAAATCATTATTGGGTAGCTCTAGGATACTGCTAGTGCTCGGCCCTGGTTGGTTACTTAAAAAAATTCTTATATGCAACGATCTGAGATGAGAGGAAAACCCGTAAAACCAATCTTTGTCCTGGGCAAATTGCATGTCAAAATACTCCTTTTAGAGTTGGAAGTTCTTTCTTAGTAAAATCTTTATCACCGACTTAAACTTTCAGAGACTTTTGAAAAGTGAAACGAAAGCTATTCCTCAAATGACTTCATTCTCCAGTAGGGAATACCAGATCTCACCTGTGACTTGCCATTTATTCAAATAGAGAGAAGAAAGACGCCCAACCCTCAGTGCTTCCTTCAGAACAATGGCTGAATTCATGGACTATACTTCAAGTCAGTGTGGGGTAAGTTGGTGTAAACTGAAGCCATGCCCCGATCTGCCTGGTGATGGATCACAAAGTAGACCTTTGTGGATTTTAGAGAGAATCTGGAGACTACCATTTCACCCTGCCCTGTCTTCATGGGTCAATTGTAATCACTTAAGGATTTAAACCAGGTGATAAATCCAAGCTATTGGTAGAATTCAACAATATTTATTGAATACCTAATTCAGTAGATATTATTGAGGATAAAGCAGTGAACAAGTCAGAAGAGGTCTCTGCCCTCATATTATTTGCTGAATTCCAAAACAATCAAGTCCAAATATTTGAATTATTTTAAACTTTGAACTGATGAGGAGTTAAAAAAAATTCATTAGGATCACTCTAAACTGAAACTGAGCCTCTCTGTTTTCAAAGTGTATTGAAACAAAATCTGTACATTAGAATTTAACCTCTGTTTCAAGCCCCTGGTAATAGAGTTTTTAGGTATGTCCATATGGGTTCGTATTGCTTGATGGCCACAAAGGTGGTTCTGCGGAACAGGAGCAGCCTCCCAGGAGTCAGTCCCATGTTCTGCCACAAACTGGCTGTAATGCCTTATTACAGTTAGTCTCTCTCACCCTTACCTTCCCTGTCGAAAAAAATGAAGATCTCTGAAATCCTTTCCAGCCTTTACAGTCTGTTTCTTTAGTTTCCACTGAGAGATGAACATCAGAAAATTATCATGAACTAGAGCATGAAGACTTATGGTACCACTTTTGGTACCATTCATTGAAATGGGTGAGCAAAGGTTTTAAAGACCCTCTTCTCAAAATTATACTAAGGTCATCTTTAAGAACTTTGAGGGAATGTTAAAGTGTAGGCCAGCCAACACTCAAGGAAATCACCTGCACGGAAGGCATTCTTTATGGTCTAAGAATTACAACAGACTCTGGGTCTCTTCCAGCCTTAACTGTTTGTGATTCTTGTGTGGTTGTAAGCATGCTGGTCTGTAAGGGAGAAGGAAGAGACTACCTTGTTCTGTCTTGCTTTTCAATTTCATATATTAAGATTTCCAAAACTCTCTAATCTTTCTACAATTTTCATAGAATCCCTATGGCTCCAAGAACAAGATTCCAACCAATGAGATGTAGTTCAGAGAATACTTTTATGTTCTTGCTTTGTTAAGGGGTTTTAGAAAAATTCATAACTTGGGCTCTGCTATGAAGTGATCAACATAAAAGGAATAATAATTGTCTTTGGTTTGAGGTTTAGCAAATTGGTGTTCTTCATTTTGGTTTTCAGTTCAGGTCTCCGTTATGGAATGGAGGCTCAGAACCCCTTGTCTTTCTGAGATAGAATTAAAAACAGTATTATGAGTTTGACAGCACAATTTTGAAGCAGCCCCTGAGATACATCATTGGATCCATGTCTTGAAGTACTTTCCCTAGCTTCTCATTCTTTTGGTCTCATGCCTTAAATACTGTCCCTGCACTATGTTCAAGTTAAACAGGCTGGTAAATGTCCTCATTATGAGTCATAATCAAGGACAAATCTAAGGTTAACTTTGAGGGGAAGGAAGGAAGCAGACAAGAAAATAAGAATTATTGTCCTTAAATTGGAGACTTCTTCCTTCCTCTCCCCTCTTCCAAGGGTAGAACGGCTGCATAGCTCTTGGGTTTACGTTACATTTCCGGTTGTATTTCCAAATCTCAAGGAGGTACACCCCTTTCTTCCCCTGTCCTTGTCTGGGACTTAGACAATCAATGTGGAACTGTTGTGCACCAGAACTTGTCATGAGAGAAGATGAAAAGGCATCTGTGTTTGACACAGGGAAGCAGTCAGGAAAACTATTTAACCTGGCAAAGAGCATGGTCCTGCCCAGCGTTAGTTGGCCAGAGTTGTTGCCCTACAGAGGCAGCAGATGGCAGCAAAGTAATGCCAAATGCACCTTCCTTCTCTGCAGCCAGTTTACATGGGCTCAGATGTGTTCAGTGACTTCGCAGGCCTGTCAAGCAGGCAGGTAATTTACCTTTGCCCTTTTGCCTCTCTTCTTAGCCCTATTTTGCCCAAGTAACAGAGTTTTTTGAAAACTTAACCAGACTATTTAACCACATCTTTCACATTACTTCTCTAGAAATATTATTCATCTGTGCCGGAAGAAGGAGGGGCAACCCACGTCTATCGGTATCACAGAAGGAAGTCGCAACTGCAGTCGTGCTCGGACCTTGGGAGTGGTCAGGTTTGCGTCCTCAACTGTCCTGTGTGCTGAGCCATCTAAGCTGGGAGGCCCTCTGTCGGGAGCTCCTGCTGGAGCTGTGTTACTGGATGCCTGCGTGACTCAGCATCCCACTGCATTCCACTGCTCGACAGAAATGTATCAACCCCCAGCCTCAGAGCAGTCATAGCTGTGAACATTAAATAGGAGTTTGTCTAAGATATAATACTGATGCCACTGTAGGATCTTCCCTTGAACCCGCAGTCCTGGGTCATGGGGTTCTTGGGCAGTCTTAACGAAAAGAGCTTCGAATATCCTCTTCTACATCTAGGGATAGGAAGGAGATTTTTTTCATAGTCACATATTTTATTCCAAGGTAGTGATATGTATCATGTCTTAGGTAATTTTTAAAAAGTGCAAGAAGGGGGTCTCTTAGCAAAATACTTTTCCTAAAGATAATAACACAGGCCCCTCACTACAAACTTTTACCTGTTTTTTACTACGTGTCATTCTGGGAAAGGCAGAGATTCTACTTGTTGAACTGACCGGACAGAAATCCTTTGTTGCTGAGGAGAGTAGGTGTTTTATTTTTGTTTTTAAACTACCCTGGTTGTACTCAAAAATAGCAAACTTAAACCCAGAGTCTGATCCTCAGGTTGGATTTGTGGCTTCTCTGGCCCGTGGGTTTGGGGAGGGGAAGCATGGCCACAGGGATGAGAGTGAGGACCTCATGCACACAGGAAGCCCCTCTTGTACCCTGGGGTGTAAGGAGCAGCACCAGAACCTGAACCCTGGCTTCTCTTTTCTGGCCTAATGCCGAAGGGGTTATATGTGGGTGAGGGTCATTCCTGTCCCTCCCGTTCTCTCCTGTAAAATGCAAGCTGGTGCCTCTCAGGGAAGTGGATCCTTCAGCCTGTTCCCCTCTGGTACCCACACTCCTGAGACAAGCACAGAAGACACTTCTGTTTTCTGAGAGCCTGTTAAGTGTCTGTCACTTCTACACTTTAAATCTTCTCTCCAGTCTCATACCCCCATGTTATAAACTAGGAAAGCAAGGCTTAGAGAAATTAGTTCCTCTCAGTAAAGAGCAGACATAAGATTCAAACTCAGGTTTATCTGACTCCAAAGCCCATGAAGATTACAAGTAATCATGGTGAACATCTTATTAAAAATATCTCACAGAATTCACTAAAAGCCTTAATAATTTAGGTGACAACTTAGAAAAAATTGACAGAACAATTGTTAGTTCCTAATGAAGTAGGAGAAAGTTTCTCTTTATAATCCAGAAGTGCGAACTTGGGCACAAAACAGTGTTTCTACTTGTTTCTTCAGAGTAAAACAACATCCTTTGGCTTTGGAGGCAACTATCAAGCCCCAGAGTACATCCCAGAGGCATCTCCGCCTGTGAGTATAGAGTCCCAGTGTCCCACACGGGGCTTCACCACCATTGCAAAGTCGTGAGCCAGCTGGCCTGGTTATTTTACGATTCTTGGTACTGGATCTGCAATGTCTGTATGTTGGGGTGTTTTTAGCCTTATGGAGCATGCACAACATTGAGGTTCAGTGTAAAATTCTGTTTTCTTAGTATCCTTCCTCCACTTGAAGCTTTAGGGATGCTCTGCACCCGGACTCATAGTTGTGGTTGGAAAGAATGTGAAATATTCGTGTCTCAGTTCCTACGGCTCAGCTGGGCTGGTGCTGGGTCTTGCTGGAATTCCACCATCTGTTCAAGCAGCAGGAGGGGCCTGACCCTTGTGCTTACAAAGTGAATACCATTGCTGACATTCTGAAACTTACACATTTGGTGAGATCAGGTTCCAAAACATGTGAAGGGATTTGTTCCCATTTTCCACTAATGTTTCTCTGTAAAAAGCATATAGGGGTAAGTTCCTCATTAGGATCAAGCACTCTTTAGTTTATAAACTCAGGAAATAATTTGGAACTCGGAAGGGTTGGAATCCTGAGGAAAGGAACTCCAGCATGTTGCTGTAATTTGCTTTTTTTTTTTTTTTTTGTATACAATGTGCTAGCCAAGATTCAGAATATATTGGGTTGGCCAAAAACTCTGTTTATTGTTTTCAGTAAAATAAGAGACACATTTTTCATTTTCACCAATAACTTTATTGATGTGGATATTTTGAGTATGTTGGCTGTCTCCTGCATAGTATAACATTGATTGTTCTCAATTTGATCGCTGTCAACTTCAGCTGGTCTACCCAACTGTGGAGCATCATCCAGCGAGAAAGCTCCAGCGTGAAACTTTGCAAACCGCTTTTGACAATTTTGGTCAGTCACTGCACCTTCTCCATAAATTGCACAAAGTTTATTTTTGCATTTCAGTTGTATTTTTACCTTCCTTGAAATAATAATAAAACATAATATGCTGCATATGTTCCTTATTTTCTTCCATCTTCAATATGAAATAGCTACATAAAAATTCACCAATTTTTGGTTTTTTTAAATGCACACTGATATGACAGCTATCACAATACAATCTAACAAAATTGTTTTGAATGAAGCTAAAAGACAACTAAGTGCTACTAGAGCCAGCTTATGGAAAATCCCAAATAAACTTTTTGGCCAACCCAATAACAGAGTAAGTAGCGACTAAGACTGTTGTCCTTCTAGTACAAATATAAGTGGTTAGGCTTAGATGCCTGCAGCACTGGCAGGATTTTGGTAATGCCAACCTTCCAGACAGCCCGGTATTGGCAGCACACGTGCCAGCCTTACCCCGTACGTGTCTTTTTATTCAAACACATGAAGCATCGTTGCCTTTTTGAAACTCGGATGCAGCTGTATTTTCCAAACCTACTTTTGTTTACTTACATAGTTGATGACTAACAAATGCTTGTGTCATTCACATCAGTTAAATGACGCCACACCTCTGGTTTTGCAGAACTGGAGTATAACATGAAAGCATGTAACAAAGCAGTTTGGGGAAAAAAATGGCTTCAAATCTATCAGGTGGAGGGGGAGGAAGTTTCTTAAAAGTACGAGTATTATCATTCATCTTCCTAGTAGAATTTGCTGGCCAATGGTTTTGTCCCCTCCCTGGGAATGGTGGGGGTGGAAATGACAACTTCCCCTTTTGGGCACTGAGTAAGCAGGAGTGGTGTCCCAGCTGTGGAATAAGAGCCTTGGCACTAAATGACAGGCCCCTTCCTGGTTTGCAACTTTGCTCTTTTGCCATCTAAACAGACATCCTCCCCTGTTTGCACACCTGCCATGACCCACTTCCCCACCATGTTCAAAGTCTGTGCTCAGCTCAACTCTAAACATCAACCCTCCCACTTCCTCCAGTTCCCCATGTTTTGCACTAGCAGAGAGCCAGTTTGCCAAGGGAGGGCTTTTGCCAGCCGGCTGACTTGCTGCATGACAAAATGGAATCTACTCACAGAATTTGCAGCTCTAGGAGAAATAGTTCATCATCCCAATAATGAATTTAGCAAAGCACGTTGAAAAAGAATGATTCTCATAATTCCAAGGTGCTTCTACATTACTGCTAATCTGTGCTAAGAAGTGCCACTGTCTGCTTTTGATCCCAAAACAATGGACTTAGCCTTTCCCTTCCCTCTTTCTAATTCTTATCTTTCTACTCTAGCTAGAGTGTTCCTTTTATGATCCTTCATGTTCCTGTAATACTTGGGTATTTACAGTGGTCTAACCTGGGAGGTGGGCATTACCACAGTCTCAGAACCAAGGAAACAAGTGAGCACAAGGAGACACTGAGACTTACCTAAGGGATAGTCCTGTCATGTGGCTGAGACTTTGAAAGCAGGACCTCCACCTCCCACATTAATGCTTCGTTCCATCTGGCCTCTGGCACACAGAGGTAGCCCAGTGGGGGTGCCCTGGGCATTGGGATATAAAAACCTCTCAACTGCCAATATTTGCTTTCCTTCCAGGCTGACAACATCTCTAAGGACCTCTACATAGAAGTGTATCCAGGGACCTATTCTGTCACTGTGGGCGCAAATGATCTAACCAAGAAGACTCAAGTGGTGGCCGTTGATTCAGGACAAAGTGTGGACTTGGTTTTCCCTTTATGATGTTGACCATCACGTTACCTTTTTTTAAGTAGCAAGAAGAATAAAGCCACCATATGATTCTCATAACATTTACACATCCATCCTGCTTTGGGGGCCGACCCTAGAGAGTCAGCCTTACTAACTGCAGCTTGTCTCTTTCAGTGCCTATTTTTTTAAAGTGTAGAAGTCCTCTTACCCTGTTCTCCCTGAAAGTAATAATGGCTATCTGAATAGTTTTTACTGCTTGCTTTCCAAGTAAAGGTTAATTATGATAATAAAAAGGAGACTCGATTTGGAAATAAAGAGAATACCTTTTTATTGGTATTAGGAGCAACAAAATATCATTCATGTACAGCTGTAGGCTTTATGAAAACACGACAGAGAGGCTGTGGACACAGGTGCCCCACACAGGCCAACCACGACCTGTGACTTGTGTGGAGCAGCATCCTCAAGCTGCCCTCACGGGGCAGGCAGCCCTGGCCAGGGCCGCCAGCACACTGGTGCCTCTCACGACAGGTGCCTTCCTGCTGCCCCTCTGCGGGAAGTCACAATGGGGCGAAGACGCCGCTGCTTACTCAGCCTCTGTGGCCTGCACGCTACCTCCTTCCACTGGAGGCTTTGCCAGCCACTCGGTAACTCTTCCTCAGGCATCTACTGCCTGTAGCTTCCTATAAGGGGAAAAAGCCCTCAGAGTCTTAGGCTGACTGTAATTTTAAGGATCAAAAGACACTGATTTTAAAAAGTCATCAGTGAGTCCTTAACGTTGAAGCTACCTCACCAACAGTATTGCTGCACCTCTCAGTTTAGTTGCCTAGTTATCTCATTTTGAACATGACAAGTCTTCCCTCAGGGCAAAAACGCCAGCACTTTATATGATGAACATGAAGTTTTAAGTAGCGCTATATTAGCAATCCTAATGAGAATCAGACTCCCACGGACACGGCTTAGTAAAGCAGACCCGTGCCCATCACCAAATAGAGGGTCATTTAACTGGGGACTCTGGCTCTCCTACATAGCTTATAATGACGTTTGGGGGTTCTGTAAGGCATTTGAAATTATGTGCAAAATTGTGGGTATATGAATTTTTCTGGAAAGAAGAGTTATGGGTTTTATTTTCAAAGAGGGTATGACACCAAAAGGTTGAAGAACCATAGAAGGAGTCCTTAAGAAACCCCTCCCCAAGGGATTCAGAAGGAAAAACAAGGTAGTTATAAAATAGTCATGGGGATGTAAAGTACAGCATAGGGAATACAGTCAGTGATGTTGTAATAACTGTGTATGGTGCCAGGTGAGTGAAGGAATTATCAGGGGATCACTCTGCAAATTATGTAATTGTCTAACAACTATGCTGTATATCTGAATCTATAAAATAATATTGAATGTCAACTGTCGTTGAAAAAATAAAAATAAAAAAAAGTCCCTTCCCAGCCATGCTACTTTACCTGGGTCCTCGGGGCGTTTAGTCTGAGGAGCTCTGGCGTCTCGGACGCGCCTCAGCAGCTCCCGGACTCAGCGCTCTGCTTGCTGCTTTCTCTGGTGGGAGCTGCAGGGGCTCCGTGTCGGTCGCTTCCAGGGCCAGCTCCTTGGCGTTCCCCTCTACTGCAGTTTGTTCTCTCTGTTGTTTGGTGCCCTTCACTTCCTTCTGGATGTCACAACATCTTTTTCCTAAACCTAAAATCCAATGGGGTGTGTTGAATGTGCCATCATTTTGATGGGATGGGCCTTGATGACTCAAGTACAACTACGCCAAGGATCACAGAATCTCTTCACTATGTGTAAGCTCCTAGCACTGTTCTCTCTTTTTAAGGAAGAAATAAAATAAATTGTGTTAATCACTTCTGCCTATTATGCTTTTGAGAAAGGCTGTATCTGGTCACCAGACTTGGAATTGGGGAGAAGTTAGCAGGCATATGTTTCAAACTAGCCATTAGGGGGAGCAAAGATAACCCACCGCCACCAGTTGAAGGAGCTTATAAATCACACTGATCACAAAGAAGAGATCGTAAACTAATAGGAAAACAAGTTTTCACAGGTCAAATGAGGCCACAAAAGGGGAGGGGGTGTGACTTCTGAGGAATAGGGCAATGTATAAAAAGGAAGAAATACTTTAAAGGAAATCCATCATCTCCCTGACTTAAAACTACAGATTGAATCCTGTTTTAGCTATAAGCAAGGGAGGAGAGCAACATGGCTGCTGGTAGTCAACAGCCTGGCCTCTCCCAGCCCTGGCTGGTATAGTTCAATGGATTGAGTGTGGGCTGCAAACTAAAGGGCCACCGGTTCAATTCCCAGTCAGGGTACATGCCTAGGTTGCAGGCCAGGTCCCCAGTAGGGGCCACATGAGAGAGACAACCGCACATTGACATTTCTCTCCCTCTCTCCCTTCCCTGCTCTCTAAAAATAAATAAATAAATAAATAACAAAGTCTGGCCTCTCCAGGGTCGCTGTTTTAGGATCAGATGGTAACCTCACTGCCTGTATGCCAAAGTAACAAAAAGTATGGAGGTTGGAGGGGCTCGTACAAGAGGGTTGTTAAGAGGCAGAGCCTGAGACTGACTATTGAGCATCAGTACTTGATGGCTACCAGGCACTGATGGCTACCAGGCACAGCTAGAAGACGTGGAACACATTTTCCTTAAAGAATACAAGATCTGGGGGGGAGAAAGAAAAGCCCCGATGTTTGGCCACGTGTCCTCACCACTAGTCTGTTGTGGCATATAGCAGCGCACCTGTGACAGCGGCCAGGGATGGCCCCTTCCTCCACGCCCCATCTCAGGCATGTTCTCCATAGGGGTTGGGACCGGAGAGAAGACAGGCCCACTGATCCTCCCGGTTCAGCTCCAACAACTACCTTTGCCTGGAGCAACAACTGATCCAGCGCCTGAAGGACAGCCAGGCCAAGTACCCAAAGATACTATATTTCTCTTTATGTAGCCAATTATCATCACATATTTTGGGAAGTAATATTTTGCAGTGGGTTTGTTTAAATATGGTGATGGGGGTAGAGACTGAAGGTAGGATTAGGTGGGTAGGCGGGGCTGGTAAAAGCAGTGCGTGCCCTGGGCCGGGGACTGGCTCCAGTTTGGCGCCAGTCTAGAGGATGTGGTGGGGCCCGCCACGGCAGCAGGAACGTGCCGGTACCTGGGGCACGTGTGACCCCCTCGACCCCACTGGCTACCCCACTGGTGCCCCTCTCCATGAGGCGGGGCCTGGGGCTGCCCAGTGGCTCCCCACAGCCTCCTCTGCAGGTACAGCTTTTCTTTCTCTCCGCTGTGCTGAAGCAGGAGGCTGTAGAAGCTACGGAGAATTTAGCATGAGAACTCTAGATCTGGGCACCATTTTATTTATATCATCACCTGTTGGGAGGGTACATCTAGTAGAAAAAACTTACTCTAAGTAGCTTTGCTGAGGCCTCCCAGTGTTTCCCTCTGCAAGACTGGAGTGACCCATTTCACAGAAGCACAGAGACCTTCCCCCAGCCTTTGTACAGGGTGGGCCAAAGTAGGTTTACAGTTGTAACACAAATAATATGATGATAATAATACACGAATACACTCTGTTTCCTGGACTCACAACTGTAAACCTGTCTTTGTTTGCCTACCCCTATTTCTAATGTATTTCCTCTCAAATAGGGGAGGAGGAGCTCAGCTGGTCATGGCTAGATTCTTGTCCTTTTACTATTTCCCTCTCAGAGGAGGAAGAGAGATCCCACACCTTTGAAAGCCAAAGAAGGCCTGGAACCGTCTGATAAAACACAACAGCAGTGATGTACCATATTTTTTGGACCATAAGACACACCCAAGTTTTAGAGGAGAAAAATAGGGAAAAAAATTTTGAAGCAAAAAATATGGTAAAATATTTAATAACATAAATAACATAATATTTCACCAATGTAAATGTAAACAGAATTCAACAGCAGCATTAACAACCATTATTCCTCCCAAATTTGGAGGGGTGGGTACATCTTATGTTCATCTTATGAACAATACAGTATATCCATCCCCACCCACCCCAAAGCCCAGGGGTCCCGTGGAGAGGACCAAGAAAGTTTCTCACTATAGAAACAATTGCTCAACCATCTGGAACTGAGGACTAATAAAAAGCTTATCCTGGGGCAAGACTGAAATCCTCACGGGCTAGGAGGTCTTTCTGGCTGAGTGGCTGTCCTGGAAACAGGACGACAGCTTCGATCAGAGGCCCACGTGGGTCCCAATGTGGGTGGTATCTGGAGATCCTTGAGCTTTTAGCAGTGGTATTCTTTAACCCTCACAGCGTCCCTGCCCCAGAAGGAATGTTCATTTAGTTTATTGAATGTTAAATTAGTAACCCCAGGACCCCATGAACCTCTTCTAGCCCGGGGGACCAGGCTTATCCCCCACCACATAGTTCAGCCAGCCGACAGGCTTCTGCTCTCCCAGGCCCCTTTGGGACTTTTGAGAGGGTGGGCATGAGGCACACCAGTGACCTACTGCTCCTAAACCTGTGAGGGCATGTCACACAGTTCTTAGCCCACGATACAGAAGTTTGGGGATGGCCCTGACCAGTGTGGCTCAGTGGATTGGGCATCATCCTGCAAGGTGAAAGGTTGCTGGTCTGATTTCTAGACAAGGCACATGCCTGGGTTGTGGATTTGGTTCCCTTTGAGGTGTGTGAGGGGCAACCAATTGATGTTTCCCTCCCTCTCCTTCTCCCTCCCTTTCCCTCTCTCTAAAAATAAATAAATTAATTTTTTTTTAAAGAAGAAGTTTGGGGATGGCTGCAGACTGCCAACAACAACACCGCCTCACTCTGAGCTGTAAGAATGAGCAGCATAGTGCAGGGCCCCGTTTCTGACCTAGGAAGGGGCCCCTCTGGAGAGTATGGCCTGATGACTGGTGTTTGAAAAATCGTTCCTGGGCTTCTCGGGGCATGTAAGACTGATCAACCCCTGGAGGCGTTTAGACGCTTCATCTGGAGGAAAATCAAGGCCTTCAAGAGCAAAAGGGTGAGGGGGCAGGTATTATAAAAGCAGGATAGCAGCAGTACCTGCAGGAGAGACTAGTGAAGAAAGGACAGCTGTTAACGAGAGAGGCAAACCTTTGCAAGAAGATCACCCCATCCATCCTTTCTGGCTGGGCTTTACTGCTTCAATGGAAACCTACCATTTATCTCCCTGCTATCACAGACTCAGCTTCCACATGACCACACCCCTAAGTATTGTTTCCACTCCCAGCTTAGTGGTCACGTGGCTCAGATTCCCAAGAGACACCAGGGAGGGAAGGGAGCAAGGGCCTCAGCCCCGCCTTAGAAGAAGGTGTACCTGGCTTCCCAGGCTGCGGCTCAGGCCCATTTCTCCTCCAGTACCTCCACTCGGGCTGGCAGGGGCCACCCGGCCTCCTCGGAGCCTTCTCAGCAGGCACGGGGTCTGTGTTGGCTGTGCTGTCCACCATCGGCCTCTGGCGGGGGCCCATCTCCAGATCTTTCTCTACATCCTCTTCAGAGGAGGAGGACACAGCTATGGGAGCTAGCACTGTTCCTTCCTCCTCTTTAGGAGCCTCCAGGGGCAAGAGCCGTGCTGTGGGCTTCAGCTCTGCCTCTGGATGTTCTCTGGCTGTGACCCCCGAGGCCCTGGTTAGAGGCCACCAGGTGGGTCCGGCCAAAGGGCAGCCCAGGCAGCCCTGGCACAGCAGGTGGCAGCAGGCGTGGGGGTGGCAGGGCGGGCACAGGAACGGGGGACCCAGTGGAAGCCTGTAGGTGACACATGCAGTGCCCGGCCCCAGCAGAGAGCAGCAGGGGGCCCTGAGGAGGGCACTGGGGTGCTCCCTGGTCAAAGGCCAGCGCAGTTTCTCCATAGCCTTCTTCCAGACAGCGGGGGGCACCCACCTGACCCCACCTAGAGGCACCGTAGCTGTCTTGCCATTCCAGAAGTGAACAGTAATTTCTTCTTTCCATGCTGCATAACAGAAAATGGCAACATTTTGTTATAACAACCTCTTCTATGTCATGAGATAAGGGTTCTCCTCTCCCCAAAAGCAGCCCTTCTGCTCTGCGGCCTCCTCACGCAGACTTCTCCCACAGAGCTTGCAGGAACACGCCCTCACCCGCTCCATATTCACCCCCACACTTCCAGTGCACCTACATGCACCTCCCTGCCTCAGTTTTGATGTCAAAATCAAAGTACCTCCTCAGCCTGGAAGGAAGAACCTCCTTCTGTCATTCTCTGAATGACAGTGATGCCGCCGACTGGTCAGCCCTGTAGAAGGGGACTGTCCCAGTCTCTGGACGACTTGATGGGGGACAGGTCACAAATACCACTGTGACCCCAGGATAACCCACCACACCATAGGTTAGCTAACCAACATAGACATAATAGTTTTAGGCTCTTTCGCCCTGATGAAAAATATATATTTTTTAAATATTTTATTTATTTATTTTTAGAGAGGGAAGGGAGGGAGATAGAGAGAGAGAGAGAAACATCAATGTGCGGTTGCTGGGGGTTATGGCCTGCAACCCAGGAATGTACCCTGGCTGGGAAGCGAACTTGGGACACTTTGGTTCCCAGCCCGCGCTCAATCCACTGAGCTACGCCAGCCAGGGCTTAAAAATATTTTTTAATCTTAAAGATATGATTTGTAGATTTGTTGCCACACGCCAGGTTGAGCTGCATGTGAGGGGGTAAGGGTGTTTTTTTTAATGCCTCTAAGACCCCTAAGCTGTAGAGACCCCTCTGCTCTCTCTTCTGGCCTGATCACCAGCCTGGCTCCTTCTGGGAACCGGTAGGTCAGAGCAGCCAGCCTTACCTCTCTGGGGATCTCTCGCCTCCAAGCCCAAGACAGTGGCGGGGCCGTACCGCTGTCTGTCTGGCTCCCAGGGGGCCAGCACCTTGTCCCCAGGTTGCAGTGAGCGTTCCGTGGATGGCGAGAACTGAATGACATCTTCTTCTAAGACCACGCTCTGCCGCTGGGCTGGCAGCTCTGGGCCTGTGACAAGCGGAACCTCAAATTCCACGAGCAGGGCCCCCTGCCTCTCCAGCTGTGGGAAAGAAAACACTCAGAATAAGGTCTGAGGGAGGAAGCACCACGGGGAGCAGCACGGCTCCCCGCAGCCATGCCCTGGAACCAGGCCCAGGTATCCTTATAAACATGAGGGCCATTCAGAGAAGGGAGGGGCAGGTACTGCGTAGAGCCCATTGTAGCAGAGACAGGCAGGGGGTATAGTGAGGGTATTCCTCCTTCTCCACCTCTTCCTGCAAGGGCAACTCCTGTTCATCCCGTCCTGCCTTTCCTTCCCATTCTCGTCCTTTTCTTGTTTCTTCTTTTCCTGTTCCTGTTTTTGTCCTATAAACCCTGGGTCCTCTGGCTCTTTCCCCAGTGCACTCCCCTGGTTGCTAGCATGTCCAAGAAGTGTTGTCCCTGTGTCCAGGACCAGACAGTGACAGTGTCTTCACCCACAGGCCCACAAAGGCGAGGAGTGGCCGGGGCACTAGGGCAGCCCTCAGCCCTGCGACACACCAGTGAGGAAAGGGCAGGAGAAGTGCTAAAGTTAGTTAAAAGTATGAGCTTTTTTGAGAGCTCAGTACAATTTTGAAAAGAAATAAATTTTGGTTAACAAATCACTAGACAGAACCTCTCTATTTGAGCAAAACTCTGCTAATATTTCATTTGAATTCATGTATTAGTTACTTGAAAATGACAAAATGACTTTTGATTGGAAATTTTATAATTCAAGTGTTTTTTTTTTTTTTCAGAACTCACACTAGTCCTTCTTCCACGAATCCCCATTCCCCAAAGTCTGCCTCCATAAAGAAGAGAAAAATCCTGAGAAGCAAGCAGCCACTGAGGTAAAACCCAGGCCTGGCTCCTGAGTGCAAGTTGCCATGCTTCTGTGTGTGCGGGCACACAGGCATGCACAGGGGCACATGTGTTTGCTCCTGCTTCCCTCAAGCTGTTGCCCAGAACTCCACACATTGAATTTTACCGAATAAAGTACTTTTACAATAAATTTCTGTTGCTGTTTAAGCTATTCTGCTTTGCACTACTTTCTTATGCAGCCCTAGCACACTAATGCACTCACTGACGCTGCATTTCCCCTTGCACAGCCTAGCCAGAGAAGAGCTGCGCTTCTCCAAGAAACTGAACTGCTGGGCACATGCCGCTGAGGAATGTCAGGTATGACAGGGCCACCAGAGGAGGGTGCCAGGGAGACGTGGGCGGCGAGGCACTCGCCTCCGGAGCAGTCTTTATCTGAGCCCGGTAATAAAAGCCATCTGGTTCCCTTCTCGCCAGGACCCATGTGCCGGCAGCATCTCCCGCTCTTCCCAGCCAGCGAGGCCCCTGCCACGCTGGCTCGGCCACATGGAGGTATGGTTGATAAGACACACATCTGGGGAAAAGCAAATGGAATTAGGAAGTAGAGAAGACCCAGCCCTAAAAACATCAAGAAACACATTTCACAGATAGATCTGAGCAGCACTGAGGCATGTGTGTGGCATACAAAGGTACATGGAACACAAATCCTCATACAAAGTGCCCATCTACGACCCCCAGTGTGGTATAAGCTGTGGGCCGGGGCAGAGGGAGAGGACGGTGGAGGAAACCACTGTTTGAGGACTGGAAACTGTTTCAAGGTCATCAAAATGTGATTAGCCTTGATACATTCCAGTTAATCAATGCTGGTTCTGAGATTAGATAGCAGGCCAGAGAAGAATACTGCAAAGGGGAATCCTAAGTGGGTGTGTGAGATTCCAGAGGAGGTGTGGAGGCTGGGACGGTGACGCCCAAGCAGCAAGCGGGTGAGAGCACTGGCGCTGTGGGGTCAGAGGGAGGAGGAAGTGCGTGCGTAGGGGAGGCACCAAGGAGCTGGACAGAGGCTGTGGGGACAGGGACAAGGAGAAGCTGGTTCTGGGAATTTTGTGAACACAGACGAGCCAGGGAGGGAGGGACTGTTGAGTCAGAGCTCAGGTTTCTGAAGAAGCTGCTTACTTTCGTGGGCAAGCCAGGCTATAGGATTGCTTAACTCTGGCTTTGAATGAGATGGCCCACCTAGGAGAATCAAGAAAGGGGGCTGGCTGTTAAGGGTTCAAGCAGCCATGTCCATCAGCTGGGCAGACTGAATGGAGGGGCAGTCCCTGGGACTTGCAGGGTAGCATGTGCTTGCAGGCTGAGGGGCCTTTCCCCTTTTGTAGGCACGCCTTAGGCAGCTGACTGAAAATCTGGTTTCCAAAGAGCCAGGAGGGATGCTGAGGGAACCTGGGGAGGGGGCTCTCTGGCCCTCACCTTGGCTCTGGGTTGCAGAAACCCTAATTTCTCACATAGTGCCAGAACGAGTCCCATGGTTGATACTAAAATGGTCCAGAAACTTTATAACTGGGGATGCCTGACTGCCTTCTCTCACACAACCCGACTCTCTTATGTGCCACTCTGCTATACAGTAGGACAAGAGCCAGGCAGCCCTTGAGGTCACTGGGAGTGCAGTTCAGATTGGGGTTGTGTAATACCTTAAGCAAATCATAGCCCACACAGTAAGGAACACTTTCAGCCTTCCCAAGAAGCAAGTTCCCTCCCTCATGGTAGAATATGCAGAACCAAAAGACAGAGAAGAAAAATGGAGATGACCACCATTTCCTCCAGAGGGCCGGGCCCAGTACCTGGTGAGAGGGCTGTGCCAGGTGAGCCAGGGTGCTTGGGTGCCAAAGGGGCAGGGGAAGGTGAAGTCCCAGGGAGGAGCAGTGCCGGCCCAGGCGGGGACCTCCAGGGTTGTGGCCATGCTGCAGTATTTGGGCAAAGGCATCCCAGGCTCTGCGGAGGATTCCATAGGCTTCGGAGAGACCGCCTGAGAACAAGCACCACCATTATCTGAGGTGCAGCCCAGCGGAGGGCACTGGGCTGGGATGGGGCTCAGCTCTGCGGTCACTGGTCAGTGGTCATCAGCCTCTCTGGGTCCCCACTTGTTCCCACAGATGCTCAGAGTGTCCTCTGAACCGCCTGCCCTGGGCACCTCAGTTCAGGAAAGGGTGGAAAGAGCAGGAGCTGTGATTGTAGAGAAACCTGCTTTAAATTCTTCACAGCCTGCGGGCTGCGTGCTCATTTCACCTCTGAGCTTCAGTTACCACACAGTGAGGAGGTAATATATGGAAAGCACCTGGCACGGAAAGTAGCTCAGTATCTATGTTAGTTTTCTCCTCCCACCTCCTCCATGGTCATAGGGCTCCTGTGGGGTAGGGGAGGGTAAGACCATACTTCCCTTCACAAATGAAATGACCCCTGGCCCAAGCCACAGACGTCCTCCTAACCCAGCCATCTATAGGACCGACTCAGGCCCAGGCCCAGCTGAGATCCCAGGGCTGTGGCCTCCACAGACCTGTTCAGAGGTAACAGCCGCGACCCAGGGCCCAAGAGCATGCTCTGCTGCCCCAGCCCCCGAGAGCCCTGTCAGGGTCTTCCCCTGCCCAAGTCCACAGGTCTGAACCCGAGGTCACTTACCCACAGCCCCAGCCTCCTCCACCTCGGCCTCAGCCCTTTTGACAGTTGGGGCTCAGAGCCTTAGCCCAACTGACTCCTGGTTGCCAAGCAGGTTGCCATGGCTGGGAACCAGAAGGAACACTGTGGGCTGAGTGTACTGAGCATGTGCAGGGGCGACAGGGGGCCTTGGGAGGCATGGGCCGGGTGAGGGGGCAGGGGTTATTGTCCAACTGTAAAGAGGGGGATATTGGAGAGAAAGGTCATGGTGGCTTTAGTTCCCAAAAGCTCAGGCTTCCTCACTGCGAGAAGACCCAGTCACAGTGGGAAGCCCTCACGGATCCCAGGGGAGCCCTAGACTCAGGACTACAGATGTGCCTCCACCCTGAGCAAGCAGGAGCTAGGGGTATGCGTAGCCACTGGCTGGACTAGGGACTCTAGCACAGAATTTGTTGATAGTTTAAAACAAAATAACCAAAGCTGTGGGCACATTTGTTTGTAACAGACAGGACTCTGCCTAGAAGCAGAGGTGTGGTGACCACTTGTGGTGGTAGAGTGGACAGTGGGGACCAAAGGAAAAGAAGTCTAGTTTCTGACCTCATTTGAATGTCCACAGGAGAAGCTGGTTTTGAAGCATCTGATAGTCATTGCACACCGGTTGTGTGCTGGGCGGGGCTCAGTGGAAGCAAAGCAGCAACACTGTATGTAGGGACTTTTGTAGGTGTTACTATTCTCCCGTGTTACTATTCCCCTGTACCACCAGTGCCTATTTCTATTTGAGGATCCACGTGGTCAGGAGGGGCTGACGGTACCCTGGCCCCACAGGTGGAACATACCACCTCGCGTCCCCCTGGCTGCAGGGGTCAGTTGAGACACATACCTGAGGTACTCCAGACTTCTGCTGGGACTCCTGGGCTCCAGACTCTCTTTCCTCCTGTCCATAATAAGGAGATGTATGGCTCTGGGAGCTTCTGGGACACTGAAACTACTCCCAGAGGAGGACTCAGAGGACAGACCTAAAGAACACAGGTTCTCGGTGGCAGTGTTGAGCCCTGTGAAGGCTGCCCTACTGCGAGATGCTTCAGTTATGTGAGCCTTTATCCATGACACCAAACTGGACCAGATTTTCTCTTATACCCTGGAGCTTCTCACCTGATGACCCCTCTCCTGCCTAAAGGCTGAGTTTTGTGCTGCACAATGCTGAAGTTAGAGTCCAAAAAAAACCCAGTGAAGTCTCTGGCAGTGAGAGAAGGATTCCTGAATAAGACAGGTAGGATTTCAACATTAGAGAGGAAAAGGAGAACATTCCAGTTTAAGTAGGAAGCAAGAGCTAGGAGAGACGGATACATTTGCAAGACTACACTTCTTTTTGCAGGGGAATGTGTTTCACGGGAAAATCAAGGTGTGGCTACTCGGGAAAGGGCCAGGTTGGTAGGAGCTTTGAAAACCAAGCAGATGCATGTAAACAATGTGGTAGTCCAAGGCAGTCTTCATGCGGTTTGAGCCACAAAGGGGCGTGGAATGCTTTAAGAACCTCAGCTGAGGATGGAGTCAGTTGAGAACAGGGCCTGGGAGGCCTGGGAGGAGGCTGTGAACAGTTACTCAGACGTGTGATAGGACTGGAAAACGGCAACTCAGATACCCACTGACAACACCTACCTGACCTGAGGCTCTTTGCTGGGTGCTAAGGGTGCAGGCCCAATAAGACTGGTCCCTATTTTCAAGGAGCTTCCAGTCTCCTGAAGAAGGCAGAGCGTTGTGCAATACAGCGTGCAAAGACAGCAAGATAGAAACTGCACGAAAATATGTACACAAAACAAAAAAGCAAGCAACGGCCAGGGTGAGAAGACTTCACAGAGAAATGGCAGTGGAGATGAGTGTGACGGTGTATTGGAAGTTCTCGCTGAGCTTGGGGACAGATGGGACCTGGGAGTTAAGGGGGAAGGAAGAGCTGAAATTCAGACATTTTGAAGGCAGACTCCAAGATACGGACCAGTGACCGTCCCTCCCGGGGGTGAAGGCAGCTGCACGTTTTCTGGCTTAAAAAACCCCGAGAATGATGGTGCTACAGACAAAACAAGAGAAGGACAACAATAATAAAGGCTATAGATACTTATGTACCAGGCACTGTTAATATGTTAATCCTTGTAATAAACATGCAGGGTAGTTGCTATTCTCGTTATTCTCATCCGTGAGTGAAGAACTGCGCCACGGAGAGAAAGTAGCAGAGTCATAGTTTACACAGAGGCAGTGTGATTCCAGAGCTTGCCCTCTTCACTCGACACTAAGCTGCCTAAGGAAGTCTTGTGTATGCAGGAAAAAGATGACTGATAAATTTCAAATGACAACAAGGTTTTGTTGACTACTTTTGCCTCAGCTCTGAGACACTTGCCCATCATGACATGGGTAAGGTGTAGATTTATTGTCAACCCCAAATAATAAAAAAACACCAAGCTTTGACAAATCAAGGGAGGTTCATTGTGTTTGCTTTGCATGCGGTGCCTGCAAAGTGCATTTTACAAGCATTCAGTGATCACTAGCCATACAATACTTTTGTGAGACTTTCTCACAGCTGAGACTCTGGGGAAGGGTGTGAGAAGGGCAAGCAGAGAGGTATAGAGGATCCTGGGACTCCCATTGCTCTCAAGTGCTTGAAAGCAATCACCAAGGCTTAAGAATCATCATCTCAATCTGCAGAAGGTGATGTCTAAAATCCAGGTAATAAACATCCACCATAGGTTGGCATCTGAGCTACTATCTGCCCACACAGAAATTACATTTAGGAAAAACTACTGCATGATGCTCTAAGAGCCCCCATTTTGTGACATTATTTGCTTCTATTTGGAAATACTGAGTCAAATGATTCTAAAAATGGGGTCGGTGTGGCAGCTGGTAGTTGCTATTATGGTGGGACCTTTCCCAGGGTTATTCTTGATCTCAGCCTTATCAGGGCACAGAAGAGATTGCAGGTAGTTAATGTACTTGATTGCAGCTCTGAGGGTTTCCACTTTGCTGAGTCGTTTCTCCAAGTACTCCTCTGGCAGATGGTGTCGGAGCTGGGCATAGCCTTCGTTGACACATTTCACCCGCTGCCTTTCCCGTTCGTTCCTTTTCCGGATGAAGGCGGGCCCGTAGGAGTACTCACACCTCCTGTAACTTGCATAGGGCATTGGGAAGGAGAAGGGGCAGGCTTCGCTGTAATTTTCCACCATCAGGGAATCACTGGGAAAGGGCAGCAACGGCAGGTCTTCAGCGTAAGGGGATGGCACCGGGGCTTCCGGGTACAAGTGGAAAGTGACCATGGGGTCCAGATAGAAGGACTGGGTCAGAGGCAAGTGGGCAGAGTCAGAGAAGACAGGCAGTTTTTCTGGCAGATTACAGTAGCTCCTATTGTCCATCATTTCCCTGTTTGCCTGGAAACATAACCGAGTTTATTAATTGGACCAAATCAAAGGAGAGCAGATATCGACTTTCTCAGAGATCAATGTTTTAAAGACTTTTCTGCCTTGATGTATAGTTTCTGAGCTCAGACTAGAAGGGGTTGCAATATTCTGTGGGTAGTAAGAGAGAGGATGTTTGATGATACACAGAAGCAGCATTAAATAACACTGACTCACCTTGTGAGAAAGTTATTGCCTTTCAATTCTCTCTCAGTTCCAATAATTACAAAGACGCAGCTTTAGTCTCCTGGGTGTGTCCTGTGCCCTACCAGCACGCTTTCTAACCCTCCTCGGATGGAAGCCTTCAACAAGCGATACTATCTAGCTAGAATTTAATAATATTTTACTCTTAATTTCTTTTTATTGTGAATTATACTGATTTCACATTTATAGTATGATACAAAGTTTATTTAAAAAATAAAACCTATACCTACCTGAGTAAAAAATATGGACTGAAGAAAAATGGAAAGTCGGTAACAGTATAGGTGGAACTCGGATAACGATGGCTGTGCAGGTGTGTGCGAATGACCGAGGTCTGGGAAACGCTGCACGCCACCGTGCTTGACCATGTGTGGGAGGAACTACAGACTTAGTCAGTGCCCATGCACCCTCATAGGCACAGCCTTCTTAAAAAAATGCCTAACATGCCGGAGGCAGGTCTGACAACAAAAATAAGAAAGGAACCATTCACTCTTACAAATTCACTGGATCTTTTAAATGAAAAACTCTCCTATCACATTTAAAACATAGATTTACATATTTTTACTTGCACAGAACTTTATGGAGTGGAGTGAATCTATATTTAAGTTTTGTTCTTTGAGAAATTGAACAGAAGGATAAAGTATTACACCCCAAGAGGTCCCACACCGCCACATGTCCTCTACCTGACTGAACAGGTCTGCATCCATCTCGTTCCTTAAACTGCCATTGCTTTGCCTCTAACTGCAACAATGCAACCGCCACAGGTTTTACAGGGATACTGCGGTTTAACCAGTAAACTGGGCGCCAGGGTAACGTTGTAAGAAAAGAGCATTTTCCTTTCAGTGATGACACCCCCAAGTTTCCACGTTGGCTTTGCCCCTCCCTAGCTGTGTGGCCTTAGACAAGTTGCGTAATCTCTCTGGGCTTCAGCTTTTTCCAGTGACCAACTGAGATACTGACTGTTCTGCAGAGAGACTGTGAGGACTGAAGGAAAAAAACTATACACAATGTGCTAGGCATTGGCTCTTTCCCTTTTTCTTTATTAACAGACAAATGCTTATGCAGCATTCCTCTCTAAATGGCACCTTACAGAAAACCTGGCTTATGTTTTCCCCAACACAGGAAAATCAAACACTGATATATCCCAAAGCATGCTGGTTGAGAGATGAAGAGCATAACTAAAAATGGAAAAAGAAAAGCGACATGAAATCTAACTGTGGGCCTCCAGAAAAAAAGAAGAAATTAGGGCTTTTTGTTACTTTCTCAGGGGCGTGATTTTTCAACATCTTTAGGAGAGGTTGTTCTCTGTGCTTGGCATATGTGAAGAACTGCCCCCCTCCCCGCACCCCACCCTCCAGAAAAATCCCTAATGCTTATGATCAGGATTAGATAGCCCCATCACTTGTGCTTCCACCCCAGCAGAGCGAAACTCTGCAGGCCGCAGCATGCAATGTGTAGAGCGGCCTCTAAGCACCAGAACTCAAGGGCAGTCAAGCGTATTACAATTTTTGTGGCAAAGCCTATATCCTATCTCATATGGAAAGACAAGTAACTACGGAAACAGAAAGGGTGGTGGGGGCTGGGGCATAGGGGGCGAAGGGTGGGAAGGGTTAGAAGTCATGGTGAAACAAGCTGAAAAGAAGTAAATGCCAGGAAAAACTGTTCCTTATCAGGGGGTGGGGTGGGATGAGATAAGTGCAATAGGTTCAGTGAAAAAAATCAAAACAAAGGGACAGGAAGTAAAAGATTCAAATTACTGACCAACTGGCCTGAAATTAAAACAAAAATGTTCAAAGGTTAAAAACTAGCCAAGATTGTGTCAAAAAAAAATTGCTGAGAAAAGAGTTAGGAAATCCCCGAGCCAGAGATTCTAGAGGGTAGAAGCAGAATACGTGTGGAGCGGGTATTCCTACATTTCTGGGAATAGCGGCCCTCACTGCGGCCCGTGGCTGGCAAGCCAGCAGTGACACAACAGGGCACCAACACAGAAGACGGGAGTCATCAAAGCCAGTTTCGCACAAAAATTCTTTGGGCATGGTTTTATTCTGACAGATCATTTTAATACTGTCTTAAACGCTGACTCAGATGAAATCTGAATAATATGTATATGCCACAGATAACTAAAAGTTTCTAGGCTTTAACAAGACTTTGCATTAGTCTTGGAAGAAGAGCTTGGTGTCTCTGGAGACATGCTGATGAGAGGCTGTTTCTATTGAACATTTTCAAAAAAGTTGACTAATCACTGCAGTAGCATTGAGATACGATCATCTTTTATTCAAATAAGATAATTCAACCACAACAGGGTGATAGAATGGACAATGCAGTAATGAAGATGATCAAGGTGGAAATCCAGTGGAAGCTGGGTATGTCTGAAGAAACTGAGTTTTTATAATTCAAACATTTTTACAAATTTTATAGAAGAAAGTCACACAGATGACCAGCGCTGGGGTTTGGCAGTTCCCGACACATGCACGGTGAACAAACTCACCTGTCTTGGAAAAGTCTCAGGTTTCTGTCCCAGGGCTCTTCTGGGAAACACATGAGGTCTTAATGATAAAATCCTAAATAGATTTTGGATGCTCTATTGAGTGTAGAAGCTTCAACTTCTAGAGGTATTAAATATATCTAGCATGTAAAAAACAAAGCTACAACTATATAGATAGCTGAATTTTAGAATGTTAGGGATGGAAGGAACCCTAGAAATCCTCTTATCCCGTCCCCCATAGACTGAAACTTGGCTAAAGCTGCAGAGCGGGGGTCAGATCCTAGGTCTCCTGACTTCCAAACCAAAACCTTTTCCACCGCTCTAGATGACTCAGCCACCAGCAAAATCTGAGTCTTCTAACATATAGGCATAATTGATAGTTTAAGATAATGAAATAATCAGGCAGCTGACACAATGCATCATTTACCAATTGTGCCTAGGAATTTTCCTATAAATCATATTCTTACTCTCCCTATGGGCCACCCTGCGGAAGAGTCTCTTACCTGAGTTTTGTCACCAGGATGCTGTATTTTGGATTCAGTCAGACTTAACCTGATTTATAGGTGACCATTTAGTAACAATATGCAAAGTAGCTGACAGTTAAACAAAACTGCTCAGTTCTGGTTTAGCTGTTTTTTCTACGTGACATGTAGATATGACAACACAGAACAAAACTAAGTAGAAAGGTTTGCTTCCAAAACTGGACTCTTGTAACAAATTCGTTGGTAAAAAGAATCTCCCCATTCATCTGGGTTATATAATTTTTTATCAAAATTATTCATGAAAAATACCTTTAAGTAATAATCTCATAATGTGTCAATATTGGTCAATATTCTTTTAAATAGCGATTAAATAGCGATTGAACCTATAGTTCAATATGAGGTTCAATATGAACCTATAGTTTATTAAAATACCTATTACTTTTTCCCCTTTTAAATAGACTGTACTTTTGTCCAAGCAATTTCAGATGCACAGCAAAACTGAGCAGAAAATACAGAGAGTTCCCATACAGCTCCTGCCCCCAACACACACCCCTCCCTACTACCAACGTCCCACCCCAAATACACTTGTGACAACTGATGAAACCGTACTGACAGGTCATTATCACCCCAAGCCCATGGTTTACATAGGTTTTCTCCATTTGCATAGGGTTGCACACTGAGTTTTAACAAAATTGTAGTATGTATCAATACTATAGGATCATACAGAATACTTTCACTGCTCTAAAAAGCCCCTGTGCTGCACCTATTCATCCCTCCCTCCCTCCAATATCTGACAACCACTACTTTTTTTACTGGCTCCATAGTTTTGAAACCAGAAAAGACACTGGAGTTTGAGCTGCCTGTCACTACCAAACCCAATAAGCAATGACAGCGATTGAATCTTTATGGGCACTTTATTCGGATGGCCAGCGATCTGAAATGTTGGGTTCATACCCTAACAGACCATCTTAAATTCCATTTTAAAATGGCCCTTTTTAGAAGGAGAACAAAGTGCAGGTAAGGGGTTTGGAATTCAGGGAAAAGTTCACTGGGTGAAAAAAAAAACAACTTCAGCATTCTCGATCTGGGGGTGGTCTTCAGCTGTGCATCAGGCAGTGGTCATCTCACCCTGGAGCACAATGGCTCAGATAGCATCTTGAGTTGCTTACAGTCCTTCTGAGGAACAAAGGTGGGTGGGACTGCTTAGTGTCTCTTGAAGTCAGGGTGGGTCATACCTTCAGTTACTGGAACAAAAGCTTCTACATGCATTGATTACTAAATTTATTAGCTATTACTTAAAACTAAAATTTTCCAACTCAAGTCCCCTACCAGTTTTGCCTTTTCCAGAATATCATATAATTGAAATTATACCATATATGGCCTTTTCAAATTGGCTTCTTTACTCAGTAATATGCATTTAAGATTTCTCTGGGTACTTTTTTTTTATGGTTCAATAGATCATTCCTTCTTAGTGCTGAATATTGCTCTGTCTGGGTGTACTCTACTTACCCATTCCTTTACTGAAGGACGTCTTGGTTGCTTCCAAGTTTTGGCAATTACAAATAAAGCTACCGTAAATACTCATGTGCAGGTTCTTGTGTGGGTACAACTCATTTAGGTAAATACCAACAAGTGTGATTGCTGGATCTTACAGTAAGGGTATGTTCAGTTTTTGAAGAAAATGTCAAACTGTTTTCCAGAGTGGCTGTACCATTTTGCATTTCCGCAGCAATGAACACGAGTTCCCATTGCACCAGCATTTGGTGGTACCCGAGTTCTGGGTTTTGGTTATTCTGATGGGTGTG